AGTGTTATACTGTGTTGTTGTTTTTTTTTTTTTTCCGACGGAGTTTCGCTCTTCTTGCCCAGGCTGGAGTGCAATGGCGCCATCTTGGCTCACCGCAACCTCCGCCTCCCAGGTTCAAGCAATTCTCCTGCCTCAGCCTCCCGAGTAGCTGGGATTACAGGCATGCACCACTATGCCCAGCTAATTTTGTATTTTTAGTAGAGACGGGGTTTCTCCATGTTGAGTCTGGTCTCAAACTCCTGACCTCAGGTGACCCGCCCAACTCGGCCTTCCAAAGTGCTGGGATTACAGGCATGAGTCATTGTGCCTGGCCAGGAGTTTTACTGTGAAGGGAAGAAATGAATATAGTTGGAGGGGAAAGTGGCATCAAGGAAAGACCTTTTGTCACTAATAATAAATATTTCATTGAAATACACTATTCATATGGAACAGCCAACAAATCTTGAGTGTGTAGCTCAGTGAATTTCCACAAGGTGAACACACTGAGGTAATCAGCACCCAGATCCAGAAACAGAAAGTGCCCAGGCGCAGTGGCTCACGCATATAATCCTAACACTTTAGGAGTCCCAGACGGAAGGATCGCTTGAGCTCGAGGGTTTGAGACCAGCCTGGGCATCACAATTAGACTCCCGTCTCTAAAATTAATTTTTTTTTCCCGAGACAGAGTCTTGCTGTGTTGCCCAGGCTGGAGTGCAATGGCATCATCTCAGCTCACTGTAACCTCTGCCTCCTGCGTTCAAGCGATTCTCCTGCCTCAGCCTCCCAAGTAGCTGGGATTACAGGCGTGCACCACCATGCCTGGCTAATTTTTTGTATTTTTAGTAGAGATGGAGTTTCACCATGTTGGCCACGCTAGTCTCGCACTCCTTAATTCATGATCCACCCACCTCGGCTTCCCAAGGTGCTGGGATTACAGGTGTGAGCCACCATGCCCGGCAAAATAAAATTTTTAATTAGCTAGGTTTACGGGTGCATGCCTGGTTCAGGCTACTCAGGAAGCTGAGGTGGGAGGATCACTTGAACCTGGAAGTTCTGTAGTGAGCCATGATCATGTCACTGCACTCCAGCCTGGGCCACAGAGCAAGACTCTGTCTCAAAAAGTGAAAAATGAATAAGAAACAGAATATGACCAGTTGCCAATATCCCCTTCATGGCCCCTTGCAATCACCACCATCTTTCTGAAAGGTAACTAGTACTATAACTAACTTTTTTTTTTTTTTTTTGAAACGGAGTCTCGCCCTGTCACCCAGGCTGGAGTGCAGTGGCTCAATCTTGGTTCACTGCAACCTCCACCTCCTGGGTTCAAGCAATTCTCATGCCTCAGCCTCTATAGTAGCTGGAATTACAGTTGTGTGCCACCACGCATGGCTAAATTTTGTGTATGTAGTGTGTGTGTATATATATGTGTGTGTATTATATATGTATATGCGCGCACACACGTGCGTGTGTGTGTGTGTGTGTGTGTGTATATATATATATATTTTTTTTTTAGTAGAGACGGGGTTTCACCATGTTGGCCAGGCTGGTCTCGAATTCCTGGCCTCAAGTGATCTGCCTGCCTCAGCCTCCCAAAGTGCTGGGATTACAGGTGTGAGCCAGACCTAAACAGCATGTTCTCTTCTGTGTCTTCCTTCTTATGTTTGACATTGATGTGAGATTCACTCCTACTGTGGGTAGTGCTTCTGTCCTTTTCATCACTGTATAAAATAACTTTGTTCTATTTACTGATTTAATTGTTAATGGGCATTAGGGTTGCTTTCTGTTTGGGGCTACAATGATTAACATGGCCATGAATATTTGTGCACGTGCATTTTGGCACATTTGAACTGTACTGTAGCTTCTGTGCCAACTTTTCCCTTCCCACAGCCTTCTGTGGCCACCTCCTCGCCTTCCCACAATTTCCATGGTTGCCCATGACCTCCTTCTGGCCACCTTCAGTGACTCTCCTCGGTGCACCTCTGAACTATGGACTCAGCTGCTCCCTTGTGGTTTCTTTCTCAGCCCCAGCTTTGTGGTCCTGTCCCACTACATGAAGTCCTCAATGCTAGTGCTCCCCAGATCCAGGGTCCTAAAAACCCTTTGTACATCCTCAGTGGGCATTACCATCTTCATGCTAATCAACACCAAATCTGTCTCCTGACTACACCCCCTAGCCAGGCCACCAGCACAAAACTGAGCTCATCAAATTCCTCCAAGAATTATGTCTCCAGTTGTTGAAATGTTACATCCACCCAGGTACTTGAATCATTACCTAAGAATCATTCTAGCCTCCTCCCTTCCCTCTAGCCCCCTACAATCTTAACTCTCAATTATCAAAATCTGATGAGATCTACCTCCTTCAGGGCTCCCAGGGTCATTCCTTTCCTTCGGTCTCTGAGCCCCCACCTTGCTTCAGAATCTCCCAGACTTTTGGGACAGCCAAAAGTCCTTGTTCCTCAGGCCTCTCCACTCTCCTCCACTGATCCACCCTAAAGCAAATCTGATCAGGTTATCACATACCCTCCACACCCTCCACTGTCCACAGGATAAGACCAAACTCTTCAGCAAAGTCCAATCCTTTCAAGAACTGTCCCTCACAGCCACTCCCATGTGCCCATTCTAGAACCGACTGGATCAACGCAGGAGTAGTTCCCGGCAAGTACAGAGCTCCTCCTCACCTCCTGGCTGCTGAGGACCCTTTCCTTAGAAAGCACTTCCCCCCAGCTCCAAGCTCCCCTTCTCCAGCAACCTTCACCTTCAGCTTTAATCTCCTTTGGGACGTGCCCCCCACCGTACTGCCTTCCCCAGTCTCCGCCCCTCCTCTAGGTGCCCACTGGCCCTCCATGAACCACAGCTATTGTCATGGTAATAATTTCATTATTAGAAGGAGCTTTATGCTCAGCGGACCAGAGCTCCCTGAGGGCAAGGGATTGTGGCATTATTTCAAGCACTGAATTTGTTCTAGTAATCCCTGAATAAACATATGTTGGATGAATGAATGCGGTAACAGGAATGTTGAGCCAAGTATTAAACCACACAAAACACAGGAGGAGAGGAAAGTATTCAGAGATACGACAGGGAGAACTATTTGAAACAGTTCACAGACCCTGTGAACTGTGCAGAGAGGCCTAAATAGCCTGGGGCTTCTGGAGGGAAGGGAGGTTCCTGGGTGGTGGAGCACTGGTGCACAGAAAAGCAGATGAATCCTGAGAGGGAGATTCCCCACTGTGAAGGGTCTGGTGTTGCGGCCAAAGGCTGGGGGCTTCCACCTGTCCATCATGGCTTTTCAAACTGTAGGGTTTTTTTTTTTTGGAGATAGGGGGCAGGAGGGTGTCTCACTTTGTTGCCCAGGCTGGTCTCAAATTCGTGGGCTCAGGCAATCGTCCCACTTCGCCCTCCCAAAGTGCTGGGATTATAGACGTGAACCACTATGCTCAGCAGTAGGTTGCAATTAAATCATGCACTTATGGCTCTCAAAATCATTCTAGGAACTGCCACAGGTGTAGGGGCTATAAAAGTAAATACGCCCACTTAGAAAATGGGGATAATTCTATGTCACAGAGTTGTAAAGATTAAATGAATTAATACAGATTAACACACTGGGAACAGCGTCAAGTGCATAAGCACTATGTAAACTTTAGCTATTATTTGCTATTATTGTATTTGCTGTTATTGCTCTCTAGGTGCTCCCAGGGGGCTAAGAAGTCGTGGGAAGAAAGAAATGATTCTAAGAGAATCCAGTAAGGGCTAGAATGGAAGTGAGCAAACAATGCTGAGGCCCACAGCACATGTTGTACTGCGGGGTTCAAATCCCATAAGGCCAGCAGCACCCGGGGTCTGTGAGCCCTCCAGAGTTGGGCCCTGGTGGTCCAGTCCAGTCCTGGGGGTCATTCCATTCCCTCCCTCATTATAAATTGGAGCCTGAAGGCCCGGGGCGGAAGAAAGGGGTCCACAACACTGCACGGTTAGAGGCCGAGCCAAGGCCGGATCCGGCCAGACCTCCACAGCTCTTCCTTAGCCTCCACATTCCCTCAGGGTGTGGGGCGCCAGGTTGGGGGCGAGGTAGTGGAGGCCCAACGGAGGCCGAAGCTAACTGGACGGCGCCTCGCGATGGGAACTACGCTTCCCAGCATGCGACGGGGCAAGGGGGCCTTTCAGCCGCGAGCAGTGTCTCGCAGGGTCTGCTGGGAGTTTTCATTGACCTCTGATCCCCCGCTCATTTTGATCCGCGCTAGTCCACTCTAGGCTCCGCCCCCTTCTGAGAGCGGATGACCTGGCAGAGTCCCGCGAGCCGCTTCCTTCTTCCCCTCTCATTGGCCCAGCCTAGCTGCCATTCGGTTGCGAGGAGGAGAAGTTGCTTACTGATTGGTGGATTCCGTTTGGCGCCAACTAGGAAAGGGGGGCGGGGCAGCAGCGGCCCCCACTGAGCTGCTATTACCGCGAAAGGCCAGATTGGCTGCGACAGCCTGGGTAAGAGGTGGAGGTCGGCTCGGTTTTCTGCTACCCAGAGCTGGGCAAGCGGGTGGGAGAACAGCGAAGACAGCTTGAGTCTGGGCCGTTGCCTCGAGGCTCTCGCCCGCCTTCTCTCGCTGACCCGCCGCGTTTGTTTGGATTTAATCTTCAGGTTGCCGGCGCCCGCCCGCCCGCTGGCCTCGCGGTGTGAGAGGGAAGCACCCGTGCCTGTGGCTGGCGCCTGGAGGGT